CGAACAGAGGTTCTACATAACAAAGGCTCTCCGGAGCAAACGGTGTTGCGAGGGAGTCACCCCCAACTACGTACATAGTATTGTACAGGAGCAGGGTCTAGGCATGTAACGATCGACATTATCGTGGGATTTGGTGAAATTGCACGATAACCAGTCGAGTACCGACGATCTTTTTAGTTGGGGATGTTCCCGCAATTGCCAAGCAATAAAGCAATCCTGCCAGGGGAAATCAATCGCCAAGGACGCACGACGTGAGATCCGACTTGAAACGCGCATAACGGTTCGGCCGCTTAAACTACACCACAATCCACCACAGCCTAACTTGGATTAGGCCTGTACGACGACATCACCTTTTAAGGTGTACCTACGGCTTGTACGGCTTGTACGGCTTGTACGGCTTAGGGCAGTAAGGCCCTTTTCTTGGTCAATCTAGAAGAATTACTTCTAGAAGCGGCTTTACTACAATGTGCCAAGCTAATGACGCCGCACCCGTTCCTGTCTTACACTTCAATGTTGTGTAAACCAGTAAACCAGTAAACCAGTAAACCAGCGCCCATAATTGATGGTGCCATACATTAATATTCGAGTTCCTCAGCTATCCCAAGTTGCTATTGGATTTGCTGTCGTCACGCACTCCACAATCAAACCAAGCATAAACCTATAGAACTCTAAGGGTAAATCCTCAATGGTCTCTGTTGCTGCGCAAATAAGGCGTCTTGGCGTCTACTGTAGTGTCTGCGGCCTCGTTGGCCGCTGATGAATTACTCGTAAATCTGCTAGTTATCGTATTCTAAAGACAGAATACCTAACCAGCCACAAGTAATTTTTATCGTCGGCTCCAACGCGCGGATGGCGGGTCAAAAAATGATTGGCGGCCGTGGTCAGACCGAGCGTCAAACTGTCACGTCTGAACAGCCTATTTCATCATCGTCGTCAATCTATCCGATGTGATTTCCACAGGGAAATGACAATGCATACCTACCTATACATATCCGTCTCACAGATCAGACCAACGGCTGCAAGGCGACTGTGCGCCGATCTTGAAAAGGTATGTATTGCAGCGCTTCCGTACCATCTGATCATGCTAGTGGACCGTAGAATCCGGACCGGTCCAAGGTGAAACGATGGGTGTACCGCATCCCGGGATGTTTCATACACACGTCGGGATGGTGTTGAGCAAGATGCGCTGTCAGCATTCTTTTTTTATTTCCTCTGTGTTACAATCCAATCATCTCCCGTGTAAACCCGAATTACAAAAGAGTAGGTCCCTAAGGTAGTCAGAAGCATTATTTACACAGAACTAACAAATGACGCTCAATCGTTAGGAAGAGAGAGGTTACTAGAGCGAAACGATTATGACTCTATTCGCGTCTTGTTACTGAAAGCAGACATCAAGCTTGAGTAGGTACCTAATATTGCCGTATGGGGTTTACATCTCCCTTTTCGCTTATAGTTACCAGTCAAACATGAGTAGTACAGCCGACTGTGTGATCGCAAAACTGCTCTCTCATTATCGCTTATTAGTCCGCTTATTAGTCTGTAGAACTTTGTAATAATATTTGGTATATCTGTGTATAACAGCTAGAAACGATGTCATAAGATATCTAGGTTAGTAGGTTTCCGAGAGCTATCACAAACCTGTAGGAATCCCGCCGTGGTTGTTAGATGGTGCCGCCAGATTATGTAGGGATCCGGCAAACCCGCGAGACATAAGCATCCTATAATAACCTAAATAGGGAGAATATTAGATACCTTACCTACTTAACCTACCTAACCTACTTACTATCGAAGCGGCGGAAATGATTAGGAATCGTAAGTTGATTACAACGTGAGGAGATCATCATCAACTAGCCCAAATGAGAACCGGCACACGCCATCTTATTCCTATGTATATTCATATGTGTATTCCTGATTACTTTAACCTACCTAGATTGGAAGCCAGGTAAAGAACTCATTCGGTAAACTCTATTTTCGTAACTTCGTTGCTATACCTACGTATACATACTCATGCTGAGAAGAGCACGCCTTTGCATTATACCTCTTCTTTGTTCTGCTCCGCCCCGCGCGTCGTCAGCGGGTTTTGACGCGTACCAGTAGCCGGGCCACCCATCATCTTCCCAGCGTTTTCTCGCATATTACCATTATTCTCATCTAGTATCTTCCCTCTAGCCCTCCTCCTCCTCCTAGCGTCTACACTCAACCTCCATCCATTGCCCCATTTGATAGACACGTACACGCAGACGGTGCCCATGAAGACGAACAACGCGCTGATGGTCGAGAACCAGCCAACTCCGATGCCTTCGATAGCTGGGAGAACTACAGCCATACCGGCACAGCCAAATAGATAGCGAATCGCATAGTTACCCGCGGTTACCTCTGCTCCACGTCCTGGCATCACGTCTAAGCAATATGTGTTTAGACTGGGAAAACAAAATAGTTGCGCCACGCCTTGCAAGAATAACACTACCACCGTCAAGGGGATACCACCGACGTCTTTTTCCACACTCCAGCCGTAGATCAGGACGCAACCAGGGATAACGATACCCATAAATGGTAAAGCCGAATACAGGCGGTCTTCAGGAATGCGCATGCCCCGTTTCTTAATGTACTTCTTCACGACGTAGTCCGCGTACCGCCCTCCGATGAACGTGCCGAGGAGATAGCCGCAGCCGGGCGCGAGGTAGAACAGGCCGCCCTGCATCGGCGTCGTCAGGTTGTACCTTGAGTTTAATACGTACCGGATGGGCGTAAGTAGGGAGTACATATTCCAAACCAAAGAGGCACTAGCTATGCCGGTGAGAAATAGATTCGGATACTCCCATAGTCGTATAACCCGCCACGGATTGATCATCGTGAGCAAGACCTTGACCTTCGCCGAACCGCTGTAGCCCACTAGGTCGTCGATCTTCTTGTGATAGATGGTCTCGGGGAGTAGAAAGTATGATCCGACGGCTGCGATGCCCGCCAGTCCTGTTTGGAGCCAGAATATTACGCGCCACGACGTGTATGTGACGATGATGCCGCCTATGAAGGGTCCCAGGGCCGGCCCTACCAGTGTTCCTGTAAGGAACCAGCCTAGAGCTGTTGCGCGTTCTGTCGGGCGGTACATGTCACTATGTATTCAGTAAGTGATCTAGTCCATAGACTATTATGTGGTTTGAGGATAAAGGGGTAAAGCTAACCCAATGACAGATGCGCCGACTAAGATGAAGGAAGTGCCTTCAAATGCTGTCAGGAGACGGAACACGAAGAAAGCACCTAGATTCGGCGCTAATGCCGTACCAATGCTACACCCAAGGAATCCTATAGCCGTTGTGACGGTGATCTATAATAGATAAAATGTTAGTTATTATAGATTACTACTATATCCATCTATTCTCTCGTGCTTTCAATCGTAGTGTGAATATGAGGTCCTTACTATTTTCCTGCCGTAGACCTGGCTTAGCGGTCCCCAGAAAATAGGCGACAAGCCCATGAACAGCATGTATAGGGCGTTGATCATGTTGATAATGGATCCCGTCGTGTCATATTCAGCCGCCACTTCGGGCGTGGCTGCCAATACCGACGTACTGGATATGGGCGCTAGAAATGAGCAGAACGACAAGAGGAACACGATGACTAGCTTTCGGTGAGGTGGCAGCCGGTCGTATACCTCGTCAGGGACCTCAACCACCGAGTTTATCGCCTCAATAGGCATGTCCGGGCCGAGAGAATGGTGCGTCGAACACCGGTCGAGCACCCCGTCCTCGGCATTAGGGTGGGCCGTCGGCCGGGTGGACTCTATTATGTCATCGGAGCGGGTCGAGGAGCTACTGGAGAGTGGGCGGGAGGGTGTGTCCGGGACCTGGCCGCCCTGGCCAATGGTCTTAGAACTGGAGTCATTGGATTCGAACATTAGGAAGGGTTTTGTTTTTGAATTTATATATATACGATTGATCCTATGCGTGTCATTGTAGACAAAAAAGACTAATATTAGAAAGAGTCGTGGGCTTCACAACCAACCAGTAATAACAGATCGACTCGGTAAAAGTACATTCGTCTTTATTACAGATTATATTGTCTGAAAATCAAGTAAGACTCATCGAGCTATGAAGAATAGCGGACACGGGGAGTATATGAATGACTCCATTGGAAGCTGGTAAGGGGGAAGTACCTCCTATTTACACGCAGACGGGCCAATAACCTGGAGGCCAATAGTGGCATAACCTGTTGGATTCCTGATATCTTTTCCCTTTGCTGACATTGGCCCTCTTTGTCCGGAAACCATACAGCTGCCATGCCGAGTATCGGTGGGAACTTGGCCCGAACTTGTCTTGTTAGGGTATAGCAATACGAGGCTAAATGACGGTTGGAGGTGCATACTAAACCGGCTGCAATGCCGAACGCATTCCCCTATTGGTGCATCATCGGGTGTTGTCTGCAGGCTTGTTAATTTAAGAATTCGAAGCTTTTGCCAAGAGCTCCGTAGATATGCCAACAGGCATCTTCGACCTTGAAATAGGGGAGTAAGCATGTGTTGGCGATATTCTCTTCTTCTTCGCCCTCGAGAAGTCAGCAGCTTCTATAGCGGTGAGAGCCCGATCCGAACCATTGCTGATATGTTAGCCCCGTAATGATGCCGTAGACTCCCGATGGAAACCAATGACGACGCTAGCAAGCTAGTTTGCTAGGAATTGTGCGATAAGAAATCTTGAGCATATCCCTGCACGATATCGACGCTGATCTATTATTATTGCAACTCCAAATCGGTGCTTATTCCTGGCGTAGCATTCACTTATCCGACGCGGGATCGGCATGCAAGTGCATAGACGAGGTTCGTGAGCTCCGACTGCCGCTGCGATAGTCGCTCCGAATGGAGTCATTATGGCTTGCATTACGGGCTTGGTGGCTGTTTAACACGTGCTACGTCTTGGATCATAGATGAGGACTTATGACAAATTAGTGTCTTTTAAGCAAACTTCATCTTTGGTCTGACAAGCATAAAGCTTGTGGAGACAGCCATAGGTTTCGGGAAAGGCACCAGCTACTCTACCCGGTCCAGTAGATTTGGAGTCGAAGTCAGACATTGTAGTATCGAGGGACAAGCGGTGATCTCTCACGGACTCGGAGAGGAACTATTTGGGTATATTGTATCCATGTACATGTTAGATATAGTATAGGCTATTATTGCTGACTTGAGCAACAGTAAAAACTTTTTGCTGCTTGAATTTTGAAGGTCACCTGGCTTGTTTAATTAATCGGTGCTGAAGATTGTTTTTGGAATCTTCACATCGGTGGTACGTACCGGACATAGGTTTTGAATTTGGACAGTGATGTGGCTTAGGTGGTTCAATAGGTACCTAGGTACCTAACAGGTAGCCACAACCTTAGCCGAGACACTGTGGCTGGAGTCTTAGGCGAGAAATGGTGGGTACGTATCTAGTTTACCTAAGGGTGTTGCTAAACCTTAACCCCCCTCATAGAATTTAGCCGTGGTTTACCCCAATCACGCACACATCTCAATTCAGCGCAAAAATCGGTTTGACTAACTGGAGCTCTACGAAACATTCCGCAACATTCAACCACCGACAACTTTCGACAGCGCAACCCCTATAACCGCCGTCAAAATGGTACGTGAATTGAATATTTCATTTAATTCTTGATACGCAGGTATTGCATCGTTGAGTCGCCCTCCTGCTGGTCCGGACCGTTAAGGCGACATTTGTGAGAAAGGAAAATTTCAAGACCAGTTTAGTAGAGAGGTTTAGTAGAGAGGACACGGCACGAGAGGAATAGACTGACTATCGGCGCCTTGGTTTCTATCGACCGGCATTTCTAGCGCAAACGATCATAGAGGGCGACGATGCCTTAATACCTTGCGGTCGATGATATATTTTGGATCGAGAATAGTTACATTTTGTGTGCGACAGTGGGCTGACGGGAAACTTCATTTAGGTCAACATTCCCAAGACCCGTAAGACCTACTGCAAGGGCAAGGACTGCCGCAAGCACACGCAACACAAGGTCACTCAGTACAAGGCTGGCAAGGTATGCCCATCTCCGATTTCATGGCGTTGTCTCTTCTGAGCCGCGACGTCATGGACGATAGCCTTCTCGACTGGTTTCTAATGTACACCTAGGCCTCTCTATTCGCGCAAGGAAAGAGACGTTACGACCGAAAGCAATCCGGTTACGGTGGTCAGACCAAGCCTGTGTTCCACAAGAAGGCTAAGACAACGAAGAAGGTCGTGCTAAGATTGGAGTGCGTTGCCTGCAAGACTAAGCTACAACTGGCACTGAAGCGATGCAAGCACTTCGAACTTGGGTACGTTTCGATTGAGTATCATCTTCCGAAATAGCTATACTAACAAGCCTCTAGTGGTGACAAGAAGACAAAGGGTGCCGCTCTGGTGTTCTAAACGCGTTTCCTACTCGAGTCATTGTGCACGTTCTTCATTCATGGCAATAGGGTGGTTCATTACGGCCGGGCATTCACTGGCGACGGGAGTCTTTGATACTCGGAATGGGAGCAGCACGTAGGTCAGAATAGAACCGAATCTGCTCTTCTGAACTTCATCATGCCGTATGTGACAAAATGCTAGGAGTGGAGAGGCAGCGAGAGGTCAATGGGCTTGTTGCTCTTGACAGTAGGGATGCTGGCTCAATGCCTTCTCTACGATTACGATATTTGATGCCATAACGTGTGGGAATACCCGGTATCTGAGCATAGAATCGTTAATCGATCGCATTCTATGGCCCGAATGTTCTTGTCCAATTTTGACTTTGATTATTCTCTGGGTCATATATTCAGTCCTTCATCGTGGCTGAATCGTCTACAATTACGACCATCATCTCATTCTGCCCATTTGCTATTCTTGTGATATGGATTTCTGACTTGATATTCCAATCCCCTTTAATGGTTCTGTCACTTAGGATGTGTCGCTGGTAAAGCATGCTTAGGTACCTACTTACCTACCTAAAGTAGTCTTTGTATAGATGGGGAATATGAATGACATCCTTTGCTGTCCCTGCCCTGGACGTAAGCAATATAATTTCTGGTCCTTAAATCGTTTATAGATTAATTTTATATTTAGGGAAGTCTATAGCCGGATCTCTTGAGACTAGTTTCATGAAGAACGGGATCTATCGTGATCTAATGTCTAGTCTAATTGAATATCTAGAACCCCTCACCCATCTGGACAGTCCGACCGCCACCATACCACAGCGTCCCGACCCGCACATCCAAGCCCTTCTCTTGACCGACGACCCATTCTCCAATCAGCTTCGAACTGGCATTATCCCACACTTCCGCCTCCAACCACGCATTGATCTCGTCAATTGCATCAACCCACTTCTGCCTCTGCTCGAGCGTCGCATGGTCCGCCTCCGTGAGAAACCGACCAAGCGTGATATGCGCGCTCGGCACAACATACCGCGAGCTAACCGTCACGCCGGCATCCTTGACCTGCTCCCACACGTCCCGCCGCAGGTGGTGGTACGTATACGAATCGCCCTGCCGCAGCACGTCGACGCTGTCGGGCGCCGTCGGGGCGGGCGAGAGTGGTGGCTCGTTGGCAGCCGGGAGGAACGATAGCGCGAATGCGGACAGGTCGTACGATATCATGGGCTTGACGAGCCGTGACCGGTGGCGGTGCGTGTAGCTCGCTATGTGCGGGGTGGCGGGTTTCAGCGTCTCCTTGAGCGCTTCGATCTCGGCGGCTGTGCGGGAGAAAGCTACTTCTAGCGTGGTGATGTGCATGCGGTGGAGGGGCATGAGCCAGATTGCTGGGGGTTGTTAGTGTGGTGTTTGCGGTTCAGATAGAAAATAGTGAGAGCGAGGAGGTAGTTTGATATGCTGGAGACGTTGCTCTTTTTATTATTGCTTAATTTTGCTACTTAATTAATCGGCCAAGGGGGAAAATTGAATTACCTGGCGCAACAGCTTTGAGCCTATTCTGAATTGCTTCTGCGAGTTCTAGTGCGTGGATTGGAGGACGACCCCAGAAGGTCATACAGTATCTTGTGTCTTTCTGTTACCTGTTAATAATTCGAGCGAGAAACTAATGTTCTGGTTTATTTTGGAGTCGCTCCGGCTTGGAGAGAACACGGAGCTGAATACGTTGACGTGAAAAGGAAGAATGATGACATACTGTCCACTTGTTAGCATTCTTGACTGAGTAAAATAATCATACCGTTTGAAACTCGAGGGATGAATACACCCAATTTCGCGGGGCTTATTCTTGTACTCACCAAAGCCAGGCTCTATCTGGGGATTTTCCAATCGCAGCAGATGCTGATCTATGATCAGCCCCGTGTAGTCAGAGGCGAGAAACTTGGCTCTCTGCTGCGTGTTACGCTTGACGCGGTGGATGGCATATAGCTTCTGGATTTTCGCCTGGACTTGCTATTAACTTCTACTGCGAAAGATTCACGTAGTAAATATTCTCTAGGCGAAGGTATATTCCCATTCATTAGGCAAGAACTTCTCTTACTAAGTCAAGCAAAGCCACTTATGCCAAGATACGTAGACATGTATCCTCCTAAGTAAGACTAGGTAAGGATAAACATAGCAATGAGAGGGCTCACTTAACTGGCTCATCATCGCAGGCTTCTATTAGGGCATTGTAAGGATTCTCTCCTGGCTTCGAAACTACCCCGGACAAGTCCACCAGCTTGTTCTCGATATCTGTGGACTGAATAACCGACCCCATCTAGAATACCAGTTGAAATTAAGAGGTATGCTCTCTTTCGCGAGGATAGAATGAAGTATTTTCTAAAGTACCTATATAGCGTCGAATATCCGACAATCGGATGTTATAAGTAGAGTAGCGTGCGGCTGAGAGGGCACTGTACAAGTCGCCCTTCTGATTTATAAGTGAACGATAATAGGATTTATAGTACTCTTATGGGAAACTTGACCCAATTTAAAATTGTACATAAATAATGATATTGTATAATGTATTACTATTGCTCCTTCTGTTTGAGCTGCTCTCCCTCCTAGAATAAGGGGAATATTAATAAGGGAAATATTAATAAGCCAAGACTTTGATCCTTATGTAATATCCTTAGGTATTATCCTTGTTGGCATGAACCATTATGCTTACTAACCAATCACGTGCCACAGAGCATTTCCTAACTTCACTTGAGCTTCTTTCCTTCTTTCCCTCCATTTCCTCTCGAAATCACTAATTCTCAACGAATATGGACATGAATGTGTAATTAGCACCATCAATTACCCATTTGATTACTTTGTACATCTTTCACTTCTCCATCAAACCGTCTGCTGGCCTATCTCAAGGACGTAAACTCCCGTAACTTTGAGGTTGCGTTTTCAACTTAACCAAGGTGTGTTTTGATCAACGTTAAGAGCACTAGCACTAATATTTATTCTGTAGAAGCTGGTATAATCGTACTGGATTTCGAGTTAGATTTATCTCTAAAATGAGGATCTCCCATTTCTGGCTTATATGCTGCCGCTATTCGGCAAATTCCCGAGCATCTATGCGATGCTAACCTTCACAGAATCATCTCATCTTAAGTCTCTAGGGAAATTGAACATTATTCAGAATAGCCTTTATTTATGTGCGAGTTGCCTTCATTCAATCTTTTACTGGCCAGCTATTCTCCTTTTGTATATCTTTAGGGGTTTGTAAGATAGCAAAGCAGTCTTTAGCACACTATCTTAACCTCTTCCATATTTATATACGCCTATTGATTTCTTACCCTCATTCATAATATCTCCTTCTCGGCTAGTTACTATCATTACACCACCTGCATACTACATCCTCATGTTGACAGTCAACAATGGACTGGTATATGTTACCCTCAATTAATATCACTTGTTACGACCAAATAACTAAAGTGCCTAAGCATCTCAATACTTCCTGTATTTTCATGAATATCCAAATTACTATATTCCCTCAATAGCTTCATGGACCTAGCCTGTATTGAACGGACAGGCATCCATAGCTTGCAGTCTATTTGATACAGTCCGCGAGTATATCTTATTTATTCAATATACTCTCTAGCATTGCTCTAATCTTTCTTTAACTGCATCTCCTCCCTTCATTCTGCTTGGCCCCCTATTTCAGGCCACTGGGAAAGCTTGTATGTCACTCCACCTGCACCGATGAAGCCCCGCTGGTGATCTGGTAATATTACTACGCATCAGGGGAAAATGGTGTGATCTCATTGTATGAATTCTGTTAATGAATCGTACTTTGACGATGACTATGGGGCCATCTCTGTTCAATGTATATGGATTCTGCATGTTTCTGGTTGGCTCTTTTCACGGCCCTGTTAAAGAAAAAGGCTCGAAGGCAGCAACTTACTGTTCAGCTATTACTATCAATGGGCCGTATGTTTCACGAAGCCTATGGATCGACGAACTTCAGTCTTCTTGGTTTTGCGGTCTCTCAGACTCTGGCCTTGAGACAGCGACAGCCTCAAGTAAACTACTGGAAGATATGTGAGTGGCCGGTGTCGATGTCTTTTCGATGGATACTCAACTACTATCTGCCGTCTTGATGTTCTCAGAAATCCTATGAAATATATGGCTTTCCCGTGAGCTCGATGATAAGTCTCAAGACCTTCCAGACGCTTAGATATCTTCTCATGATATCCTAACAGACGCCGTCTTTCGTTTATCACTCTTATACGCTGTATAGTTGGATATTAACCCATAGCTCTCGCCTTAAAGAGCCTTGTCGTACAATTGGTCCTCTCCTAGAAAATGCCGTCTCTTGCGTCCTTGGGAGCTTGTTGGATACTGATGAACGTCTAGTCCTGCTACTCACGTAAGAAGGTTCTGGTCGATTGCAGTCTGGCATAGTCTCTGTCGAGTGTTGGGTCTGTCCCTGTTTGATAATCTGTCATAACCGTTACCCCTATAGCTATGCTGGTCCTCTAATTCCTCTCCTGTTTCTCAGCCAGACTTGGTCCCTTAGTTTACTGTCGTAGTATCCCCTATATTCCCTATGAGCCACAAGTGACCTTATTCATATGCTCGGTACTACCCCTGATGCTACTCCATGTCTGGTGGTGTATAGTGATGCCCATCTCCTCTACTCCCTAGCTGCTTGCCGACTGCCACCCCTTCCTCGCAGCCGCTCCCTCGGCGTCCCCCCGGCGTCCTCCGGCGTCACCCGGCGTCACCCCGGCGCCCCTCCGACTGTCTGTTGTTACCCCCCCGGTTTCCTGCTAGACTGAGGCACAAAGCTATGACCGCGCAGCTAGGCCTTAGGGTTGTGGAGTAGGGTAAGTACACAAAGCTGTAACCCTAGAGACCTAAGGTTTCTAGTCAAGTGTGCAACATTCTTTCCTGCCTGCCCTAGTTCTGCCCTTAAATTTCAGCCACTGCTGCTGTCTAATTCCAAAACAAATACATCCATCTTACCACCATCACCAATTCTCCAAAACCTCTCCTCTTCCACTTCACCTTTTCTCATACTCGCACATCTAAGTTTAGGTTTGCAACAGCACATTGATTCCATCAACCCCCTTCACAAATTGCGAATCGTGCTTTGCAAACTCAGACTATCATCACCTTTCCCTTCACTGCCATCACCTCTACGCGTTGCCTTCTCAAAAACCTCCGCCCGAGGCGAACTTTCCCCCTACCGCGTTCGAACTGAACACTAGCACATCTTCCTTATCCTTTACTACGCTTATAAACACCGCACCTTCATTAACGTTGATTTACACCCGTGGCTATGCCGCCGAAACGCTCTGGCGCGCCACTTCAAGTGGCTGCCAGCAGCTCCCGGGCGCGAAAACGCGCCAATGAAGACCCTCCTGAAGGAGTAAGTCCTAGCCAGGACCAAGATGGTGGCCGAGGGAAGCGGCAGAAAGTTGCAAAAAAGCTCTATGTTCCCGAGGTTCCTGACGATTTTGAGGATTCTGAAAATGAAGAATATTATGAAGACGAGGATACTTGTTCCGATCCCAGTAATGGGTTGGATCAAAGCTTACCTCCAGTTTCGAATGTCTATGTTGCTTTTCAAGACATTGCACGCCGATCGCATGAGTTGCTCAATGGTAATAGCCAAATTCATCTTCGGGTCGCAACCATGTGTTCTGGCACGGAAGCTCCGATATTTGCGTTAAAGATGCTTGAAGAATCATTTGATCGAATGCAACTCGGAAGACAGTTCTTGAAGTTTTCTCATATCTTCAGCGCTGAAATCGAACCGGTCAAACAGGCATATATCGCGCGAAACACCGAAGGGGCTATCATATTCAAAGATGTTCGAGATTTCATCGAACCTAAAGACCTCAAAGCGTAAGTCTATTTGCCCCTCATAAGCGGTTATCCACAAAGCTAATAGTACACCTAGGCCTACTGCAATGGGTGCAATGGAAAAGATCCCCGGGGACATCGATCTTCTTATTGCAGGTTGTTCTTGTCTGGACTTTTCCACGCTCAACTCGCAGAAACATAAGGACTACACCCAGTATGTCATTACGACTGGGAAGAATCTAATGGAGTACGTGGAGAAAAATGGTGGAGGAAATGGTTACAGAAAATCGCATTTTGAAGTGATGAATGACGGATTCAACCGCCTTCTCGTGAACATAAACGACATGGGTACTTCGGGTCAGACATTCTTTTCGATGCTCAAGTATGTAAAGGATCGACGACCTAAGGTTGTTATCCTAGAGAATGTCATGGGAGCTCCCTGGAAGAACACCGCAGACATATGGTTCCCTTTTGTCGGATACAAAGCTGCCTTCGTTAAGGCAGACACGAAGAACTATTACATCCCTCAAACTCGTACCCGCGGTTATCTTGTTGCAGTTGATAGGGACGTTTTTAAGGGCAAGATCGCAGACGTCATTATCGAACGATGGTCTCGTTTGATGACTACGGATCTTGTGAGACGCGCATCTACCCCTATAAATTCGTGGTTACTTCCTTCGGCTCACCCGATGACCGAGCGAGCCCGCCAAGACGACTCGGAGAAGGCATTAGCTCCACCCTCGAAGACCGCCGACTGGGAACGCAGCAAGGCTCGTCATCTACTGGTCCGCGAAAAAGAAGGGCTTGGCGAATCTCATCCGCTCACAAATTGGAGTTTGACCCAACCAGGGCAGCTTTATGATCGTATGGATCGACTTGTGACTCTCACACAACCGAAACGAGTTCTAGATTGCATCGACATCAATCACTTGCGAGCGTTGAAAAAAGGGTATGACTCGAGGTTCAAGAACCGTATCCATGATCTCAGCCAGAATGTAGACCGAACCCATATCAACACTCCGTTTGGAATAACTGGGTGTATCACTCCTAATGGTATACATTGGGTAACAGACCAGTGCAGAATTCTCTCTGGTTTTGAGATGCTAGGCTTACAAGGACTACCACTCAATCGGCTCGAATTCGCAGCTGAGACCCAGGAAGATCTTCGGGGTCTCGCTGGCAATGCGATGAGCACGACAGTGGTTGGTACCGCTATGCTGGCCGTCTTGAGAGCGATCCAAGAAAGTTGCGGTCTGAATAGCATATTTCCTCTGCCTCTGAAGAAGACCCGGGCGAAGGCGAAAATCGATCGACAGGTCATAGATTCTAAATTGGAAGAATTTCCAAGCTTCAGCACAACGACTGTTCGATCTTTTCAGATGTCATCCTTAACAGAACTCTTGGAAAGATGCCGAAGATATTGCTTTTGTAATGGATCGGCGAAGTATAGCACTGATGATTTCCTGGAATGTACAATATGTTCCACCATTCGCTGCAAATGGTGCGCTGGAAATCCGCCACATCGTTTCGCCCCCACAAAGCGGCCCTCAAACTTCTTACTCCTAGGAGAAGTAGAGCAAGAAGTCATGCAATTCTTACCGAGCGTAATTACGGATCTAGTCACCGTAGAGTACCAGGTACCGACTAAATATGCTCCAAGGACATCCATCACAGCATATTCTTCCATTATGAAACATCTCTCACGTACAACACTCTACTACCAGAGTACCCATGTCACAGAGGTAGTGACCGTCTGTTACGTCGACAAAAAGGGATTCGAACTTCGAGCAGTGTTGTCGGAGACAGGAATAACTTGGTACTTGTACCTCGATGCGTAGAGTGCATATGGGGAAGAGTTTCGAGAGAAGTTGGGTTTGGACCATATTCGGCTAGGCCAACCCGTCGCAAAGGCCACGATCCATAAAGGCGCCCATAGTATCCTTCCCACGCCTGATTCTTGGAAATTTTGGCGTTTCAAATCAGAACGGCTCGAAGTGGAAATCATGAAGACTGGTGGTACTCTACAGATCATGGGGATGAATGTAGAAAACGCTTTTACACTTCCGCTGGAGCTGCAGAAAGAGTTATATGCAGCTTATGGGAAGTATTACCACCAACCCGACTGTGACGCCCCTGAGAATAGTCTCCATGTTCATGATGGGAGGAAGTTATTTCTCTTCAAGGAATCTCCCAGAACTGGAACACCTGATCGAGATGGTTATATCATCTCAGAAGAGTGTCGTCTATTGGAATCTCATGAATACCAGGAGGTCCTACTTAAGTTCAAGGCCTGTGTGGACCTCCAGAAGCTGGACCCAGGTATAAGAACCCTCGATGCCCGAGTGGATGGATTTTGGGTGAGCTCACAGGCCATAAACCACGGGATCTCCTCCACTATTGCAGGCCACAAACGCCTAGAGTGTTTCAAGGTTCCTAATTCAAAGCGCTTCATCATTCGCGAAGAAGACCCGGAACAGCAGGCTATAGCCGAAGCACTGTTCACGAAAGATAAACATTGCGATCAATATGGGATCATCGGTAAATATGAGTCTCTTAGCGGAACTACAGGAAATTGGGTCACGGTTGAAAAACTTGAGCTTCCTCAATTTCATGATTTTGTTTCCCATATTAACGTCAAGCTTGCAAGCCTTGGATGTCTCGAGGTCAACTTTGAGATGGTAGACATCGACTCCTGGATTAAGGAACTTCACGATTGGAGGACTAGAGTTGATGTCCGGGACTCCCCCTTTGGACAGCTACCGCGAGCCCAATGGCTCAAAGTCTGGTTTAAAGCTGGTGCCAAACGCAAAGTCGGTACTAGATGGATCCAACACCACCATTCTGATGCGATGGCAGCATTCGAAAGCCACGCGAAGAAACAGATCCCCCTCTTCGAAGCAAGGGTAAAGGTTCACCCAACCTTGTTGCAAGACGTACAATTGGGGTATCAAGACAAGTTGGTATACAAAGACAAGTTGGTATACAAAGACCAGTTCGTCACCGTGGTACAATACTTAATCAATCATAAGACTCTTGGGCGTATAGCAGCGGCATATCTGCCATCGACTAGAAACGATAGCGCCAGAGTAACTGCATATACCCGGATCGAGCGCAATGCTATCCTGTCTGAGAATATGCAAGTGAATTCTGGATCTGGGAAGCACAGCTTCGTGCCATTCCGGGAGTCGTTAAAAAGCTTAGCAGGGTTTCCGCCTCCTTTTTTCGTTAATATTAAAATGCAATCGTTCCGAACGAAGCTGAGCGAGTCCCAGTCGCGATCTCTCTGTTGGACACTTTGGCGTGAGTCAGGTGAGCCAGAATTCACAGAACGAGAGATCGAAGAGGAAATTGTGCCTGATCTTAAGCTCCGGCTTATTGGTTGTGCTGAACGCAAAGCTTGTCATAGCGGCGGCATACTTGCGGACGACGTCGGCTACGGCAAGACTATCATTATGTTGGCACTCATGCATTGCCAAGAGGAGTTTGACAGAACAATGTCTTTAAGTCTACGTACTGCCGTGAATCCGTGCCGTATACATCTAAATGCCAGTCTTGTGTTGGTACCTTCACATCTAGTCGACCAGTGGGCTGATGAAGCGTGGAAATTTCTCCCTATCGAGTCTACGGAAGTAGTCAAAATTAAGGTACCCGGCGATCTGAAGGACGACGCATCTTGGAGTGTCCTTAAGCAGCTTCAAAATGCGAGGCTTATTATTGTGAATGTTGAATGCATTGCAAGAATTGAATATTACCAAAACCTTGCTAAGTTGGCAGGATCTCTTGATCCACCCTGCGTTAAGGAGAATTTCAGAAAGGGTTCCAGCGCTGTTCCCCTGCAGTCTCGCACCTTTGAAGATTGGTATGAGGACGCTGCGTCTGCAGCTGGGGACTATGCCGGAAAGCTGTTGAGATTGGGCACATCAAACTACTTTGATGCTGGAAAGCTCATGGCCCTGTATCATGAAATTGAGGGCCGCCGAAATGCGCATAGAAAGGTATATCAGGACTTCTCAAAGGACTATGAAAGTTCGGTTATAAACTCGGCTGTTCCATTGCAGCCAGAGGCTTCTCAAAGGTTTGACTCGCCTTGGCAGATGATCCCGCAACCATACTCCAAGCAAGGAGGTGAAAAGTTCTCGTCCATGCCAGCAAATTTCACTCACGTATTAGAAGCTTTTACCTTCGCTCGAGTAGTGTACGACGAATTCTCGTACGAAGGATTTGCATCAACCCTTTTCGTCGCCAACTCGCGAGCCAATTCGAAGTGGGTTCTATCGGCAACGCCACCTACTAGAGACTTAGCAGCTGTATGCTATACCGCGAAGCACTTTAACGTTCACGTTGCACGTCCAATTCACCAACGACAGGGGATGCCTCGGATCACGTATGGCCCGGAGTTGGAGGATAGAAGTAACGCGGAAGATCTACAGATTCTCAAGTTCTCATCGGATCAGACCATCCGTGAGAGACACCAACAGGGAATGAAGTTCCTGCAGCATTTCGCAACTTCTAATCCCCTCGACCAAGATCTTTCTGGTGGAATTGAGGTCGAAGAAAAAGTTGTGGTATGCGAGATGAGTCCTTACGAATTCGTCCACTATCACGACCTAGAGCAAGATCTGCGGGCTCATAACTTTGACGCGAATATACTGCCAAGGGAATCGCGTGTCTTCTTACAACCTCTCGTCGGTGACGAATGGGGTGCGGAGGGGAAGCAAGTCGCCACCAGAGCATTAATTCACCGCTCTTCTCAGGGTAACTGGCACAGGGAAGAAGCTTCCACGTCATCTCTTATAGAACAGCGACGTTCTGTGCGCCTCAATGCCCTTCGGGTTTTCAGAATCACAGCCGAGAAAGCTATCTGGCTCTCCAAGCGTGTCTGGGATAATGAAAAGGAAAGGAGTTTCGTCAACGGTAGAAATGCCACAATCGATATCTATATGCTTCTTAGGGATATCTGGAGGAAAGATCTTGCCAACTGTGGTGGACTTGATGCCTGGCGTGAGCTATCACGCGAAATCGTCACCAAGGAGGGAATGCAATATGAAGAAATGGTGAAGTTTGTCGAAACCAGCCACCCTAACTTCTGCATGAGCGAAGAGGCATTTTTTAATGCTCTCAATACATTGACGTCAAACACCTGGATTGACTATTACCACTTGGATCCCGGTGATCTCAAAGACATAGACGAACAAGAAGCTACTGCTCTGCTACAGGACCTGAGTCGCGTCAACAATGGCGAAGGTATGGATCTGATGGGGGGTAATGTGAAAGCCGCTCTAAGAGAACTTATCGAAGACGGCCAAGATCAATATATGAGACCAAAGGAGACTATGAAATCGCTAAAGACGAAGATGACACACGAACAAGTAGATCAAGCCAAAACCAAGGCACTCCTTGAAAGCCTATGCCGTGCCGCAGGTATCTCTTTCAATACCAGTGTTACGAAGCCCGTTCTCACAGATCTCTTGAGATCTCATATAAATGGAGAGCTCGAAGAATCCAGTTATGTTGGATACCTCAAATGCGGGGCGATGATTGTTTATAGGTATCCCAAATTCAGTGGATCGGTCACGATTCGAGGTGGGAAGTATACGTTCACTGGAAATGATGTGAGCAACACGTCGGTTGAGTTGCGCAAGACTTTTGAGAAAGTCATTTATGCCATCAAACAAGAGCGACTTACCAAGAATCTCACGTCGGATGAGAAGGAAATGAACTGCGATCTTTGCGGACAAATGGTGCCCAGAAAAGACCTACACATCGTTTCCGAATGTGGCCACCTACTTTGCAAAAAGCATCTCAACTCAGTTCATTGTGGCGGAGATGACGGTGAGCGCTGCTTATCTTTGCTGAAAGACGCAACTATGTCATTGAAGAGGGTCAACAACTCTCAGCGGAGTCTCGACCTCGGTGTTGGCACGCAGAAGGATGCCCCATGCCCTAAAATCAGCTCCAAGTTCCAGATGTTGGCCAACACAGCCAAAGCAATTCCTGCTGATGAGTTTGGTCTTGTGTTCTTTCAATACGACAGCCAGCTCGAAGAACTCAAGCATACCCTGAGAAAAAATGGAATTGGATTTTTTCACATCACTCCTGCCGAACTGAAGACTCATGGCAAAATGAACGATGAAATGAGGCCTATTGACAAATTGGATAAATTGAAAGAAGAGGCCCTTCGAAATCGATGCGACGAGCGTGGCCTTCAATGGTCGAACGAAGAGAGTGATGAAAAATTAAGAGCAAAGATCGAGGGCTGGAAGAAGCGGTTTGGAGACAGTATAAAGCATCCTAAGATTCGAATCTTGCAGATCAACGATGTTACGTCCGCAGGCTCCAACTTTCAATATGCCAATCATGTCATGTTCATAAGCCCCTTTGTGACAGATCTACAGGAGAGCTACGATTCCTGTATGAAGCAAGCGGTAGGCAGATGCGTTCGTTATGGACAGAAGAAGACGGTGCAGGTTTACCACTTCGTCACCGCCAATACCATAGAGGTCGACATCTTGGAGTTACGAACACAGAGTCACGTCCTTGTTCGCCCCGGAAAAGCCATTGGCAGATTGCGACCCGCCCCGCCGGTGGGCAATGGGATGAAGGATCGTAGTCTTGCTCGTACTGACGAGGATATCTCCATGACCGATGCGTCCGACATTTCTCAGTCTGACAATGACGATCCCGACATTTATCAGTCTGATAATGATGATCCCGACATCACCATGTCCGACTTGGACAACTTGGGTGGAGAAGAGAGGATTAGATCCAACCTGACCACCCAGGATATCTGGAAAGCCATGAATGAGCAGAATTGGCTGACCACAGTAGGGATCGAGTACTAGTTCTTGACTACGAAAGGTAAGTCCAATATGTTCCTACGCTCCTTATTAAATCCGTTTCAATAATATCAGTCAAACTAACTAGTAACTCAGGAAAGGAGAAGGAAGGAATGAATTATAGATAGCTAGTGAAGCTATCTTGCCTGTACGATCACGTACGAAGGACGAAAAGATTGCGATGATTTATCCGCTTGAGACAGAAACGCGAACAGAAAACGACCCAGAAACCAGAAAAAAAAGGAGTAAAACAAGAAAATACAAAAAAAAAAAAAAGCAACTACTACGACTAATTTTGCAACTTTGAGCACGGATCGGTTTCCTATCTTCTGTTTCTTTACTACGCTCTCCACTCCACGAACCATACTGCGACGCCGAACAGACAAGAGGGACATCACGATCGCACGTACAGGCAATTATGGACTGTTTTATTTTTGGACTTGGGGAGTAGCCTCCTTTTAATTACTCATCAGACTGTTTTAGCTACTTAGCTTCCTAATCAATTGGCATTTCCTAAGAAATGACGGCGTAGAATGCGTGCTTGAATTCCGATGTGATATGCTTCGTAGATGGGAATACCTCTGAAATAGGGGCGTCTAGGTTCCTTGCCCCTGAGACCGGTACGGTGAGATGGTGTCTAAAATAAGGCACCTCTTGCATAGATGATTATTTAAGTACTTAGGTAGCTATTAGAGTCTTAACAAAGACTGGTAACTAACATTCTAACCCTCTTCTCCGTACTAAATAGGGTAGTAATAACATACATGCATCAGGTAGGCATCTTAGGGTCACATACCCATACCCCCGCTCCCCCTTCCAAGCCCCCCCAAACTTCCCAACCCTTACTCCCCTCCTATAGTTTCGAAACCTCCCCCTTCCGCCCCAGCACCCTCACCCTTATCCTCGGGCCATCCTCCCCCGCTCCCTCGAGAGCCACCTCCTGGCAATCCTCGACCGGCTCGTCGTTGGCAAACTGCACGACGACGAAATCGACCGCGGAGCCAGGCGCGCCGAGCGCTGCCATCGGCGCGTGCCAGGTCCCCGCGCCGTAAGTCACGGCCTGCGAGCCCGTCGCCAGGAACGCGCGGATGCGGCTTAGGTCCGGCATGCCGGGGCCCGGGAGCTTGGCGTGTGTGTCTTCGGGGACGGGGAGGGCGTTGTCTGCGGCGGCGGGGGGCAGCGTCGGCGCTACGATGACTAGGTATTGGACTGGTGAGGAGGAAGAGGAAGTGGTGAGAGGGATGAAAGTCTGCGTGGTGAAGGGGTGGCGCTCGAGGACCTGCACGGTGAACAGGCCCGCGCTGTTGCTACCGGCACCAGCACCATCCTCCCTTCCAGACTCAGACTCCAACTCCCGCGCCCCGCACACAAACATAGTGGTCCGCGGCGTGGCCCCCTTGCCGCTCGGAGCCTGGGCATACAGGTCGCGCAGCGGCGGCGCCAAGCCCCGGTACTGGATGGCGGTGCCCTGGTTGGCGGACACGGCGCCGTAGCCTTGGGGCAGGAGGGAAGAAGAAGAAGCGGCTGCGGAGGGCCGGAGGTCGGGGGCTGGGTTGGTGAGGACGGCGCCGAAGGGGGCGAAGGAGCTGGGGGTTAGGGGCTCGGTTGGGATTGTGAGGGGGGTGGGGAGGGGGAGGGTGCGGATGAGCATTTTTACAATGGGCTAAGAGGAGGTTTGATGGAATTGTTTTTATTAGTTACTAAGGTAGGTAGGTAGATAGGTAGGTAGTTATTGATTATTTTATTTTATTCATTCCCTCTTTGATTCTGCGCAAGGATGTTTGGAGATGAGAGCTGAGGTAAGGTGGGGGAAGCATGTGAATATAGGAGGTACTTGTTCGAGATTGGGGGCGGTGGCACGGGTGGGTATAGGTTTGTTTAATGCAGAGAGGGAAATTGAATTGTTAGTAGGTATTTTAGTGGTACAACAACTGCGATTACATATATCAGCTACCTACTAACAATTAAGAGAAATTGCCTTGTCGGGTGGGTCTAAGTGCCGTCCAATCAAGAGCTAGAGTTGTCTTCTAGGTTGGTGTTTGCCTACAGTTGCGACATCCTTTTTTTTCTTCCTTCCAAATGAGTTTGCTTTACTCTTAAGATCTTCTAACTAGTCCATTTCAATTCCATCCATCTTGTTTGTCGCTCGTTATTCGTGCTCGTGTAGCGTGTTTTGTGAGTTTCTTCTTAACTCTAGTACATACCTAGGGCACTAAAACTAACAAGGATCTAGGCTAGTTATTACTTGTGTACTTCGTACCTATTTCGTACCTATTGAATGGTGGAATTAAATCGGCGCTGGGAATAAGTCAAATGGCGAATGAGTCAAGGTCCTACCTGTGTGGTTTATTCCGCATCGGACCAAGGCCTGCCCCAAGGCCGGCTGGAGATGATGGACTACGAGGAGTCGAATTCTCTCCGAGGTCCTCCATCGCAAGTTCGGTGGCTCCTACTGTTGTCACATCACCCCTGTCACAGCTGGGCCGTGCCACAACAGTCCTCGATAACCCGGAATTGGCTGGATATTACTCGCCTCCAGGACCTCGGGCGATGCTTCCACCAAACCCGTCCCAGGAATTAAGGGGCTACTATGCCCCTGAGCCGGTTCTGGCTCCCGCTGTACAGCCGAGGATCCATCCTACGAAGGTGGCATATTCGTGAACTTATAACCTAGACATTTCTCTATCTTGCGAACATACGATCATCATACCCCTATTTATCCGATCATTATGTTTTCCTATTGAGCGGAGCAATGCCATATATACGGAACAAGAAATTGGTTTGGGGGTTTATTCAGCGTTACAATTTACATCACAAGAAAGCCTCCTGAGGGATTGTTCGTCTCATTGATAGGTTAGGTGCTTATAACCTTACGATGTAAGCTCTCCGCAGTGACGAGCCACTTTAAATATTTAGGTACGCTAGGTATTCCGCGTGGCCCAGGTTATGAAGCTGAGAATCTATCGAATTTCCAGATCAAATTAGTTGATGCGTGAAAATTGAATATGTATGTCATGTGGGAACTACGGTGCTCATTACAATGAGATCAAAGGTATAAATCTTTAATACATGTAAGGACATAGGACAGGTGAGTAGATGTATTCTTCTCTTGTTTGCTTTGGTTACTACCTTGGTAGTACCTAGACCGTCTGACTCAAAGACAAGGAGGTAATATACATACCCAGACCCTGATAGCAATAGGTACTTAAAGCTACTTAAACATGGTCAGTTGTTACACCGTTGCCTTTGCTAATTTTCACTTCTTATAGGGTTATACCTTTTTCTTACGTAGCTGCGAGAATTATGTGGTTCGGTTTTGGTCAATTTGATCCCATCTTCCTAGATCAGAAGAGACCAATCACCTCCAAATGAAGTTCATCTCAGTCATTATGTTACCCCGACTCCTCGAAGTTATCATTTGAATATTCTATCTACCCAGTGTGCTACTCACTCAAACACTTGCTTATATCCTCCAATAAAATAAGCAACAGCTTTACAATTGGTCTAAAATATTTTCAATGCGGTGTGGAGATAGAATATATAGGGGTACTATTATTGAATAGTATGTTATATCTCTGGTCTCGTTGTATCACGGGTCATTATCACAATTTTATCATTTAGATATCTACCCAGTAGGTAGGTATGTACTGCTGCGTCGATACGATGAATTGTACAGATGTGAATGAGGAATCTGTACAAGACTCTAACAACGCAATTGATAATGCTGAAAGCGAGACGGCTGCACAGGAGTCCAGCGGTGCCGACAAGCTAACTACTGATAACTCTACTTCTACACCTCTTAATCTGGGACATAGTGGTACTGTAGCAGCCGACAACGAATCAAACCAACCGGCCGAAAATACAACTATTTCTCCTTCCCCTAACACAGATGTGAATGCCCCTGCATCCCCTGAACCAGAAGAGCCAGAAGAGCCAGAAGAGCCAGAAGATAGTGCTCAGGTAGCGCATCAAACGGAAACCAACGCGTCTGTACTTACCTCTCCTAACTCGCCCGGTTCGCTAGCCAGCGATTCTTCATCTGGCACACTAGTGGACAGTGAGGACTCATATCGATCGTCTGTCGACGCGTCTATTTTGGCCCCTCCAAATTTTGCGACGATTTCTGCTGGATCGGAGGTTAATTCACTTGGATGTGCACCCATATCGGCGCAATCTTCTTCTAATACCTCAGGTTCCACCGACACTCCCACAACATATACTGTGACTGCGGAGTCCTCTGTGTCAGTCTTTTATTCTCTTCTTGGGGCGACTCACAGTATGAACGACCTTTCCGCGTCCGCGAACGCTACGACAAGAATAGGCTCGGTTAGATTTTCAAACATTGCCGCTGTCCAGCATCCCGACGGTACCACGTCCCAACAACCTGCAAATCTTCCGCCGTCTTCACCTCCTCAAGTCCCGATGTCCGACCCGACCCAACCGGGACCCGATCCTGCAATCGCTGCAGCTGCGCCACCTCCTGGTGGTCCGCCCCCGACTCCTCCTGTGGTTCCGGCTGCAGCTGCAGCACCAGACCCTAACCAGAACGCCGCTTTCCCCCCTTTTCCAGCTTCCGCGCAGCCCCCAGCTGCTGCGTATCCCCCGTTTAATCCTCCTCACGTCATATCAAACATCGCTCCTCCGATCGGACCCAGCGCTAGTCCCGCCATACCGAATTTTAGTGGTCGACCTATCATTATCCTGAACGGGTGAGTGCTTCTTTACAAGGGGAAACTCGTCTAGACAAAACAAGAAACAGACCTGGCTAATTTTAGCACAGTACTCCAACACCCGCCAATATCCAGACTGTCCCCTTTGGTAATATGAATGTCAACCCCCAGCAACAGCAACAGCAGCAGCAGCAACAGCCTTATCTCTGGGTCAACCCACCGATGGTAGCTCCTTCAGTGCCTGCTCCACCGCCTGGTGCTCAAGGTTCGTGGTATAAACTCCTAGAAAGACAACAATCTTCTCTCTAAGCCTATCTCCTAGTAGACATTTATATACCGATAAATGAACCAAGCTGACATCAACCTAGGCTACCCCAGTCAATCGCCCTTCTGGGCCGGTGCATTAGCCAACCAGACAAGCCCTCCCCCGCAGTTCTACACAGCGGAGCAAGCGTACATCGCGGAGCCTGCCTACATCGTGGGCGCCGCGCCGCAGCCGCCGCCGGCCCCGAGCCCGCAGGTACAGTACTATGTTAATGGCACGACGGGGCCGTTTGTGTATTACATGCAGTAAATACGGCGGCATTTTACACTATAATTACGGTGCTGGTGTATTACTAAATGAGAGAGAAAGAGAGTCGAGGATATACTAAGTGCGAAAAACAACTACTACGATGGAAACAAAAGTGGCATGCGATGTTTTATTTTGCACGAACGAGAGTGCATTTCTTGATGAATGAAAATGACGATATTCTACGGGTACTACGACGGACATGACCAGGAAGGAGAGGCAGAAATATATTGCCATTTCCACTCTGGATCGGACACACGATAAGTAATCGCCTGTTCTGTTTTCTACTCCCCTTTTTCTCAACGTTGGGGGTAGAAAAGCTATGCTTCGTTGCATTTGATAATTCCTGAGTAAACAGTACTATAAAAACACACTTAACTACTACCACAAAACGTTCTTATCTACTTTATAAATGAATTACGCCCTTCCGGGTCGATCTTAGTAGATAGGGGTATATATAGGGGTAAGATATACAGTGTTTTATTACGAATAGCACTGTGATACGATACTCACCTACAAATCCTAAGCCCTTAACTCCGCGGCTGGAACACTCTTCCACGACAAGTATGTCGGTAAGATAGGCGGCGGGTTCATCCCCACTATGTTACACGAGATCTCATCGTCCCTGCGATAGACGTAGCAAGAGGTGTCGTAGAATCTGCTCCCCGAGCCTGTGAAGATAATTCTGTAATTTATTTTCAGCCACCAGACACAGGCTTTTTTTTTTTTTTTTACCTTGGAGGAAACAAAAGGAATCGAAGGGGGACTCGGACGAAACTTACGGATTCTCAGGGTCCTTGTCATCGCAGAACCACGTATGGTTAATCGCAATATACCCAGTCGCAAGATCAAGCTGCCACTTGCAATCCAGGGACTGGCGCGCCCACGCATCCGACGACTCATCGCCCGCAACATAATCCTTACACTCGTACCAGCGCGCGGGATCGCTCGTCGGCAGATACGGGGTCGTCTCCAAGCCCTCGTACTCGACGGATCGGTACCCGTCGATCGCTACGAATTGGATGCCGAACCGCACGCTTGTCGTCAACGAGTCCCCAAACGTGGGCGCCGCGAACAGCGAGTCGGAAGAAAATCCCATCTGCCATTGCGTCGAGAGCGCGGAGGCTATGGTGCAGCTGTAGCCTTGGGGGGGGAGTTCGAAGAAGGCGTTTGGGGCTAGCGCGGTGCGCTCGGTTACGGCGCCGTGGACGGGTAGGGGGAGCGAGGTTTGGTGGCAGGTTTTGATGGAGGTGTTGGTCGCGGTGTTGTTGTTCCACGAGCACTCTAGGCTCGTGTCTACGTCTCCGACTGCTCGGAACTTGGCTGGGGGGGTGTCGTCGTGCCCGTTGCAGTACCATCTCTGGTCTATGGAGAAGACTCCCGTCAGGGGGTTTAGCTTGATCAAGGAGATGATGCGGTAGTCTTCGAAGGGTGAGCGTGCTAGGGCGCAGCCCCACCAGCGCTCGTGGCCGTACCGTCCGTCGCGGTTGAGTTCTTCGCCGTCGCCGGTGCATGTTAGATTGAAGCCTGTCGAGGGGTTGTGGAAGGTTGCCGTTAGGTTTCCGGTGTTGTATCCGTTACGCCAGCTCTCGTTCCATACCCAAGAAGTTACTATCCAAGTAGGCGCCTCAGAGGTTTCGAGGCAGCCGGGATAGTTTACACCTTCGGGGGCGACGTTGGGACTCAGTTCGATCGGCTCGGTTAGTGACCCTTTGATGTAGGTTGATTTGTTAGATTCGATCTTGACGGGCGCAGTGCCAATAGCCCGGAACGTAACGCTGGAGCAGTTAGCTTAAGCCTTTCCCCGGGATCGGCCGGGCTCACTCTTTCAGATACTTTTCTCCTCCGTTGCAAATCCATGTTTGGTTAATCGAGAGCTCACTCGTCTCTTCAGTAAACCTTACTTCCGTTGAATTACTATCGCAGGTAGACCACTCCCCCCCTTTAGCAGTGCACGCCACCGACTGGTTATTGGCATGATTGCTCAAGCTGAAAGTCAAAGTCGTCCCATCATCGCTTTTCTCGTGAGTAACGTTCTGCACGTCCCAGTTAGGATAACTGAAGGACGTGCCAATGCACGGAGTGGGATTCCACGGCGTGTCTAGGACTTCCTTTTCAGAAGGTGGGATTATATCCATAGTGTCAGAGTTCCAGACCGGGGTTACATAGTCTCCATCGAATGAAGATATCTTGTCGTCTGCAACTGTACATCTTGTCTGTGTCGGATCGTCGACGCAATCCAAAAGCCCGGTAAGGTCAGCCCTTGCTGATGAAAAATAAAGCAAACTTCCAAATAGATTAACTCTCCGTTATGTTGAATCCCTTTTAAGGGGCATACTATGAGACCTACGGATGCGTCTTGTTTTCGACTTCACATATCCACATTTGGTTAATATCGACCTCGCTAGCGGAAGCTATATACTGGAATATGGTCTTCGGGGTTACCTCATCCTTGTCACCAGCACAGTTATTCCACATCGGCTTGTTCGGATCCTGCAAATAGGGTGTCGTACACGAAGTCGTCTCGTTATTCGCAATATCGTGTAGGATGAAGTGTGCCATGCTCCTTTCACCTGCCTCTATGCTCGTTTTATTGAACTGGAAGGCGGAAAGTTTGTAGGAGGGTTTCAAGAAACCCTCTTTGCATGGGCTTGCGATTGCATGCGTGCCGTTTTTACTCTGCCAGACGCTCCTCGCTCGGTTCAGGTTTGTAAATGCTCGGAGCTGTGCATTTGAAAACTCGTTCGGTTTTGCTGTTCCTCTAAGACAGACTTAGCGAATCGAACACGATTGGTATTTGTTCGAGGATCTTGCCTACGGTTTAATATCAGAATCTCCATGGACACTACACGCTGGTAGGACCAATTGCAGAGCAATCAGGCTGACTAGAAGTAATAAGTACATGATTGTCCCTCTTGGATGGCTTATGGCTAGCCTTACGTCTTTAGGGTCGATTTTATAAGCTATTCGCCCTCTAGGTCCTCTATACAATTATCTAACTGATGTTGCGAAAAGACTCGGCCCCTGGCAACATATACGGAGTGTTTATCAGTTATTTATCTTGATACTACAGTAGGATATAGCCGGCATGCGAGAAGGTAGCATCCCAGGAAGCCAATATGAGAGATGGATAAATCAAGCTAGGATCAGCAGGCCGAACTATGAATGATCTGACTAAAATTCGCCTTCTAGATGCTGCGTTACCAATTAGCCAACCTTGGAGAAAGAATATATATCCTATAAATAGGTGGTTACATTAAGATTTATGTCTGAGTTGCTTGAGAAGATGTTGCCGAGCCATGTTACGTATAGTTGAGAATTCCACATAGTCGGGGCGAGACCATTTCCACAGGAGTATAGAACTACCACGTACAGTATTAATATTGGAAGTCTTGCTGTTGATTATAAGTAATCTTCAATATTTAAATATTATTAAATTAGTTGTTTGACAATTAATAGATACATGTATGTTCGGCAACATTGATGAAAGACTACATATACCTGGTAACCCATTAAGTCTCACAATCTCAAAAATTAAATAAATAGTACAGTAGGGCAAAAAAATAAACGTTAAAAATATAAACGCGTAAAATCGCGTATATTATTTTTTACCCACCCTCATTTTTTAATAATAACTTCCATACTACCACTTAATTTTAAAAGGCTTAAAAACACTTATTTTTTCATAAAAAAACAAAAATTAAATTTATATTCGAAATAAACCTTTTAACCAAACAAATTAAAACTATAAAAAACATTTTAGCTTAAAACTTATATTAAATAAATATTTAATATAAAGTTTAAAAATTAACCCTTTCACGCTTTAATTAAAAATGCCATTATAAATTTAAATTATAAAATAAAAACATATTATTTAACTTATTAATAAAAACTTTTTCATTTTGTTTTTTTAACTTTTTTTTTAAAATTAATTTAAAAATTTATAATTATATTATTATAACGTAACTTTAAAAATAAAATATAATATTAATGGTTATATAATAAATCATAAGGACCTTTATCTTTAAAATTATAATTAAAGAAAGATATATACATATAAATAAACCATATCCCCGATATAATCTTTTAAATAATTTTCCTTTTTTAACCATTTATAATATATTATTTTAATACTATTAATTTTATAATTATTATTTTATTATTTACTTTATTATATATATATACTTATTAATATTAATTAATATTATTAAATAATAATAATATAAATTAATAAAGTTAAAAAAGTTATTATTATAATAATTTAAAAGATTTTATTATAATAATATACGTAATATTAATATTATTTTTTAATAATATATATTAAATTATAATTTTATTTTATTATTTTCCTTTTTTTTATTAATAATATTTTTCCTAATAATATCCATGTACTTAATAATATTATAAAAAACATAAGTAAAAAGTTTGACATAAACTTAAACTTAAATTTAAATTTAAATTATATAATTTAATTTTATTAAATAAAAAAATGAAAATAAATTATAAAAATTATAAAAATATTTTTTTAATATTAATTAAACCATACTCATTAAATTATAATTTAATTTAATAATAATAAAATGAAAGATAATAAATTTTAAAATAATTAATAAAAAATAAAAAATAATTTAAGAATTATTTATAATAATAAACCTTAAAAATATTAATAAAATATATTAAATATATATATATTTAAAAAGACTTTAAATAAATATTAAAAATAATTTAAAAGATTTATAATAAATAATTATAAATAATGTTATAAAATGTATTAATATAAAAAAATATTTATGTAAGAAAATATAATATTAATTATATAAAAATACTCATTAATTTAATATTTTTACGTAAATTATTAATATAAAATTTTAATAAATTAAAAATGATAAAATAAAAATAATTTAATATATTAATATAAAAAATTTTAATATATAATATTAAAAAAGGAATGGTTTATTTTAACGTATATATATTTATATATTTAAATACGCTAATATAATAATTAATAATTTTTAACCTATAAACGTTAATATATATAATTACATAAATAAAATAAATATTTATTTTAAACACCATTTTTATTAACCCACCATTTAACTTATAATATATATTACTTATTTCATAAACCATATTATAACTTACTTTTTTATTTAATATTTCTTTATTAATTTTTAACATATTACCCCCACTTTAATAATTAAAACTTATTACATAACCTTTTTATTAATTATTATTTATATTATATAACTTTTTTCCTCTTTTTTAAACACCACCTTTTATACAACCTTTTTAAAAAATATTAAATTATCCGTACCAATTAATTTAACTTTAATAAAAGATTTAAAATAACATTTAAACCTTTAACGTTTATTTTTACCTTTTTTTTCCCTTTTAAATTTTATAAAAACTACTTATATTTTTTAAAAACTTTTTTATTAATTAACCTTAATATCTTATTATATATAAGGTAATAAAAATATAATTTAAAATATTGAACTAATATGGTGTTATATTATTAAAAGCAAGGGTATTATTATATAATCTTAAGTTATAAGCCATATAAAAGTTTAATATTTATTATATTCTTTTAATCAAATAACTATAATTATTATCATTTAATTATACATTTAATATAAATATATTCGTTATTTTCCCATATTTATAACTTATAACCTTATTTTATATATTTATTATATATATTTTATCCAATTAATAAATTTTTATAATTTTTTTAAAATATAATATTATCATCAATTATTTAAAACCTTTTATAAGGATTTAAACGTTGAAGTAATATGCCATACTTTATAAAAGATACCAACTCTTGTTTAATATAATTAAAAATATTTTATTAACTTATTATAAAAATAACTTAATTAATAAACCTTAAAAATAAATTTAAACTTTTTAAACCATTATTAAATAATCCATACATAACATTAATAATTCCTTTAAATAAAAAATTAAACAAAAAAATTAACCTATAAATAATTACAATTTCTTTTCTTAAATAATTCCACCGTTTTTACCAGTAACTAATTTAATAAAATAAGCTTATATACTTATTATTAATTAATAAAATTAAACTTATTATTGTTAGTAGGTACGTACGTAAATAGGAATAACAATAATAACGATAAAATAATAGTAAGTAAATTAATGATGTTAAGACTGGTATATTAAGATGTTTAAGGAAGGAAAAATCTATCTAAGGCTAATTAGGTATAGCATATTCTTATATTTTAATAATAGTGGATACTTAACCCTTTTATCCAATAAAGTCAAGTATCTTATCTCTTCCTCCCTTATCTACAATAAAGGCACCTTATCATCAGTAAGGTGCCTTTATGTCAGTATTACACAACCATCAATTATAAAATCCCTTTAATATAAATACCTGTTAAATTAATCAACCATATTAAATAACTTAAAAATCTTTAATCCCATATAAAATAATAGTATAACACACGTTTTTACAATTTTACCTTAATTAATTAAATTATTAAAAATATAATAAATTAAATCTTATATTGAACTGGTGTGGTGCCACATCGCCAAGAGCAAGGGTATTATTATGTAATCTTAGGTCACAGGCCATATAAAGGTCTAATATTCGTCGTATTCTTCTGATCAGATAGCCACGATCATCACCATTCAGTTATACATTCAATATAGACACATTCGTTATTTTCCCATATTTACAGCTTATGGCCCTATCTTGCGTATTTATCTTATATATCCTATCCGATCAGTAGATCCTTACAGTTCTTCCAGAATATAGTGCTATCATCAGCTGTTTAAGGCCTTTCACGAGGATTTAGACGTTGAAGTGATATGCCATACTCAGCAGGAGATACCAACTCCTGTTCAATATATTAATTAATATATATAAGATTTAAAATTTTTATATAAATAAAGTAATAAAAATTTATAATATAATTTTTAATAAAGATAAGTTATTTAATGGGAATTTTATAAAATTAAAAAAGAAATTATATAATAATTTATTTTATATAAATGTTAAGAAATATAATTATATATTTTAATTTATTTAAAATTTCTAATTAATTATTATTTAAATTATTAATAATAACGTGGTAGATAATAAATTTGGATATATTAAAAATATAAACGTATTAAAGTTAAATTTAACGTTATTGGTAAATGATATATTAGGTAAATTTAAAATAATAAATATTATAATAAAAATTAATTATTTTTATATAAATATTAAATTTATTATTGTTAATAATTTTGTTTATAGTTATAATATATTTTAATATTTTATTTAATAAAAGATATTTATAAATTAAAATTTAATAAATTATATTTAATATAAATAAATTAAAAGGTTGAATAAGGATTTATTAAAGATAAATAATTGATAAAATAGGAGAAATAAAGTTATTTTATAAATTTTTTTAATATAATTTAATTATTTTAACAATATATTTTAAAATTAACCTTTAATAAGTAAATAGATTTAAAAAAATGCATTAAAAAAACCTTTTGGAATCTTTTAAAAAATATGGTGATATTAAGAATTATTTTTATAAGATGTTATTTAAGGAAGTTAAGAAGGTGTATTTAAAAAGTTATTATTAAATGAAGATTTAGGAAGAAATTTTATAATTTAAATTTAAATATTTTAAAAAATAAGTTTTTAATTATATATAGATATATATATATAAAATTAATAAATATGGTTATTTATAAAAAATTAAGGTAAGATTAATAATTTAAAGGGATTAATAAGCCTTAAAGATTAAGGAGATTGATGGTCGTGTGACACTGACATAAAGGCACCTTACTGATGATAAGGTGCCCTTATCGTAGATAAGGGAGGAAGAGATAAGATATCCGACTTTACTGGATAAAGGGGTCGGGTATCTACTATTATTGGA